TTTTGAAGCACGACTGCTACTTCGGTAGCTTTTTCCTCATAGTTGCTTTGTTAAAGTCCCCAGTTTCAATAAATGCGGCCTCAGGATATGTGGTTTCCAGTTTGCACAAAGTCCAGTGTAGTTATTTTGAGGGCCGTCGTGGTATCGGCTTGAGGGGGAATATACACGGCTGTGACTATAGCTGAGGAGAATTCTCTTGGGAGGTAATACGGTCGGCATTTGATTGTAAGGTATTCTAGGTCAGGTGAATAAAAGGACTTGAGTTCCTGTACGTTATCACAATCACACCATGAGGAGTTAATCATGAAACATACACTGCTGTCGTGGAAAATTCTAATCAAGTGAGAGAGACTTTGTCATTTTTTTCAAACAATCTATCTTTATTTGATATCGATAAATTATCGCAAAAATGGAGCTTGTCAGCGACCACCCGTAGGTGATTCGTGTTGGGGCGTGGCTTATATAGCCCAACCTGGTTACATGTCCTTAATCCACCACACCTGTGTCAATGTGTCAAACCAACGGATATCTACTGAATGAGTTGGCCCTAACCCCTGACCCTGACCCTGACCCCTGACCCTAACCCGTATTAGGTACAGATATCTACTGAATGAGTTGGCCAAATAGTCGGTGTCCTCTGTGTTCTCATGCGAGTACTAAGAACTGTTAGGATGAGGAGAGACTTCGTTTGAACAGACACCTCGTTCCGAACATGCAAGTTTCAGAGTACAGAGGGTAAGAACACGATGTGCACAGCCTAACCCTGACCCCTGACCCTAACCCTAACCCCTGACCCTGACCTGTATTAGGTACAGAGTTATGTTAAAACAGCAACTTACACAACCAGAGTAACAGGATTGAACCTACCATTTACATAAACCTTAAAGTAATGCTAATACTAATTTTTCCCCTTTTTCTTAACGGGGACAGTATATCCCGAGAGAGAGCAATGATTCCGTGAAACAGAGAATGTTACAGTCCCTGATGTGTCTCTGGAAGGAGATCCTCGCCCTGAGCTCGTCTACTTTATTGTCCAGGGACTGAACATTAGCGGGTATTATGCTCGGAAGCGGTGGATGGTGTGCGCGCCTCCTGAGTCCGACTAGAAGTCCTCTTGGTTCTATTTGTGACGCTCAACGCGCTGCAAGTCCCGCCTCGCCCATCTCCTCATTGGTTTTTAGGAGCATCTACCCACTTGGGTGATTGAAAGATGAACTGAGGTCTACGCTCCAGTCCAACGGAGTGCTTATGGATAACCCTGACCCCAACCCCAACCCCTAACCCCAACCCCAACCCCTAACCCCTGACCTTAACCCTAACCCTAGGTCTACGCTCCAGTCCAACGGAGTGCTTATGGATAACCCTGACCCCAACCCCAACCCCTAACCCCTAACCCCTAACCCCAACCCCAACCCCTAACCCCAACCCCAACCCCTAACCCCTGACCTTAACCCTAACCCTAGGTCTACGCTCCAGTCCAACGAAGTGCTTATGGATAATGTGAACGAGGCTTTGCCCATAAGCACTCCGTTCCGTTTCACCAGATGTCATGAATTTCAAATGGGGACGTCCACTACTGAGTGGAATCGCAATGCCCCCTTGCAGTTCAAGGCTCCGTTGGAGACTTAGACACATTTCTAACTTTGCGTCCTCTTCAGTCCAGCCAGAGTCTGTCGAAAAACAGGAAGTTACTAAACCACAGAAGAAGATAAAAATATGTGTGGCTTTATGGGATAACTAACAACTTGTAAACAATTACCCATTCCTATAAGTGAGCACTATTTTAATAGTAATGTTAAATAATACACACATTGGCTGTAATTCCAATGATATTATGACTGTTACCTCCCTTTTGAAGTTGATTGTGATGGTAATGAGGTTTTGTTTTTGATAATTTGTAAGTCGCTCTGGATAAGAGCGTCTGCTAAATGACGTAAATGTAAAATAATTATTAGGTGGAGGTCGCTTGCTACAATGGTATCTTTAGCCTAGCTTTTAGCTAGCTAGCTCTGCAGTGCAAGCTAGCTTGACTTGCTATAAAGTTAGAGAAACAAGTTTAGGAAAAAGTAACTAAACAAAACATGTTTTATTGTCACCTTGTATGAAAATATCATATTTTGCAATCTCCCAAAATAAATGCGTTCTCTGACGAGAGACAGGCTCTTCTCCATCTTGCGTTACAAACACTACACTTGTCCATTCAATAGCGGAGCAAGACTTAGTGAATGCATAATGAAATACACTATAAATACAAAAGTGTGTGGAGACCCCTTCAAATTAGTGGATTCGGCTATTTCAGCCACACCCGTTGCTGACAGGTGTATAAAATCGAGCACACAGCCATGCAATCTCCATACACAAACATTGGCAGTAGAATGGCCTTACTGAAGAGCTCAGTGACTTTCAACCTAGCACCGTCATAGGATGCCAGGAGAACGCTACCTGCCCAAATGCATAGTGGCAACTGTAGTTTGGTGGAGGAGGAATAATGGTCTGGGGCTGTTTTTCATGGTTCAGGCCCCTTAGTTCCAGTGAAGGGAAATCTTAACGCTACAGCATATATTGACATTCTAGACGATTCTGTGCTTCCAACTTTGTGGCAACAGTTTGGGGAAGGCCCTTTCCTGTTTCAACATGACAATGCCCCTGTGCACAAAGCGATGTCCATACAGAAATGGTTTGTCGAGATCGGTGTGGAAGAACTTGACTGGCCTGCACAGAGCCCTGACCTCAACGAACACCTTTGGGATGAATTGAAACGCAGACTGCGAGCCAGGCCTAATCGCCCAACATCAGTGCCCGAACTCACTAATGCTCTTGTGGCTGAATGGAAGCAAGTCCCCGCAGCAATGTTCCAACATCTAGTGGAAAGCCTTCCCAGAAGAGTGGAGGCTGTTATAGCAGCAAAGGGGGGACCAACTCCATATTAATGGCCATGATTTTGGAATGAGATGTTCGACGAGCAGGTGTCCACATACTTTTAGTCAAGTGGTATACATCACAATGTAAACGGGATGATTTTTTGAGGGAAAGTTGGTGGAGTGCTGCAGCAATGCGTCTCTCCAACAGCACCCTGGATTTACAAGATAAATATTTTGCGCCGTTGCCTTTGACAAAGTGAGCACTGCTTATCACAGGGCGGCATCACCTAAAAAGCCCATTTGCCACTGGTTGAGAGAGAATGTCATTGTTTTTGGGCAGAATGATGTGAGGTGTTACGTGTTGTTGGACGTGTTCTTGGACGTGTTGTTGGACGTGTTGGAAAATCTACCACCTAGTCCTAATAGCCGGGATAGCCGGCCCCTCTCCCTGCGTCTCCCTCCAGAACACCTGGGTGGAGGGGGAGTACCTGTAAGGGGGGTTAGAGTCAGGGTGAGATAGGATGAGGTAACACTGACTGTAAATAAGAGGGAGGACTAGATAGAGGAAGGATCAGCGAGAGAGAGAGAGGGAGAGAGGAGAGAGAGAGAGAGAGAGAGAGCGAGAGAGAGAGAGAGAGAGAGAAGAGAGAGAGAGAGAGAGGGAGAGAGAGAGAGCGAGAGAGAGAGAGAGAGAGAGGAGAGAGAGAGAGAGAGAGAGAGAGAGAGAGAGAGAGAGAGAGAGAGGAGAGAGAGAGAGAGAGGAGAGAGAGAGAGAGAGAGAGAGAGGAGAGAGAGAGAGAGAAGAGAGAGAGAGAGAGAGAGAGAGAGAGAGAGAGAGAGAGAGAAGAGAGAGAGAGAGAGGATAGAGAGAGAGAGAGAGAGAGAGAGAGAGAGAGAGAGAGGTTAGAGAGAGAGAGAGAGCGAGAGATGAGAGAGAGAGAGAAGAAGCGAGAGAGGAGAGAGAGAGAGAGAAGAGAGAGAGATCGATAGCTGAGGAGCGATGAGAGCGAGAGAGCTTGTGAAAGGAAGAAGGAGAGATCTCTAGATGTAAGCTAGACCTATGATCCTCTCCATCTCTCGTCTTCTCTCTCTCTCTTCTTACTCTCTCTCTCTCTCTCTCTCTATCTCTCTTCTCCTCTCTACTCTTCTCTCTCTCTCTCTCTCTCTCTCTTCTCTCTCCCCCCCCCCCCCCAGACAACGCGGGTGGAGTTTGACCTACCAGAGTACTCTGTGAGGCGGCGTTACCAGGACTTTGACTGGCTCAGGACCAAGCTGGAGGACACTCAGCCCACACATCTCATACCAGTAGGTTAATCCTGACCCTAACCCACACATCTCATACCAGTAGGTTAATCCTGACCCTAACCCTAGACTACACATCTCATACCAGTAGGTTAATCCTGACCCTAACCCACACATCTCATACCAGTAGGTTAATCCTGACCCTAACCCACACATCTCATACCAGTAGGTTAATCCTGACCCCTAACCCTGACCCTAACCCTAGACTACACATCTCATACCAGTAGGTTAATCCTGACCCTAACCCACACATCTCATACCAGTAGGTTAATCCTGACCCTAACCCTAGACTACACATCTCTTACCAGTAGGTTAATCCTGACCCTAACCCTGACCCTAACCCACACATCTCATACCAGTAGGTTAATCCTGACCCTAACCCTAGACTACACATCTCATACCAGTAGGTTAATCCTGACCCTAACCCTAGACTACACATCTCATACCAGTAGGTTAATCCTGACCCCTAACCCAAACATCTCATACCAGTAGGTTAATCCTGACCCTAACCCTAGACTACACATCTCATACCAGTAGGTTAATCCTGACCCCTAACCCAAACATCTCTTACCAGTAGGTTAATCCTGAGCCTGACCCTAGACTACACATCTCTTACCAGTAGGTTAACCCTGACCCCTAACCCTGACCCTAACCCTTGACTACACATCTCAGACCAGTAAGTTATGTACTAGCGTAACTGGTAGGATCTGAACCCCAGTTTCCCACTCGGAAAACCAACGTCTTAACCATTAGAATGACTCTCTCTCTCACTTTCTGCCCCCTATCTCTCGCTGTCTCTCGCCCTGCCCCCTCCAGCCCCTCCCTGAGAAGTTTGTGATGAAGGGGGTGGTGGACCGGTTCTCTGAGGAGTTTGTAGAGACGAGGAGGAAGGCTCTGGATAAGTTCCTGAAGAGAGTGGCTGACCATCCTGTCCTGTCGTTCAACCAACACCTCAACGCCTTCCTCTCTACCAAGGTATGTTATAGGCTTGGGCAGTATACCGTATATATACCCTATACCGGGGTATTTTGAAACAGCCACGGGATAATTTTTCAATAACGTCAATACTGCCATTTGAATTTTTTATTATTTTTTTAAATACATTTTAATACACTGCTCAAAAAAATAAAGGGAACACTTAAACAACACAATGTAACTCCAAGTCAATCACACTTCTGTGAAATCAAACTGTCCACTTAGGAAGCAACACTGATTGACAATAAATTTCACATGCTGTTGTGCAAATGGAATAGACAACAGGTGGAAATTATAGGCAATTAGCAAGACACCCCCAATAAAGGACTGGTTTTGCAGGTGGTGACCACAGACCACTTCTCAGTTCCTATGCTTCCTGGCTGATGTTTTGGTCACTTTTGAATGCTGGCGGTGCTTTCACTCTAGTGGTAGCATGAGACGGAGTCTACAACCCACACAAGTGGCTCAGGTAGTGCAGCTCATCCAGGATGGCACATCAATGCGAGCTGTGGCAAGAAGGTTTGCTGTGTCTGTCAGCGTAGTGTCCAGAGCATGGAGGCGCCACCAGGAGACAGGCCGGTACATCAGGAGACGTGGAGGAGGCCGTAGGAGGGCAACAACCCAGCAGCAGGACCGCTACCGCCACCTTTGTGCAAGGAGGAGCAGGAGGAGCACTGCCAGAGCCCTGCAAAATGACCTCCAGCAGGCCACAAATGTGCATTTGTCTGCTCAAACGGTCAGAAACAGACTCCATGAGGGTGGTATGAGGGCCCGACGTCCACAGGTGGGGGTTGTGCTTACAGCCCAACACCGTGCAGGACGTTTGGCATTTGCCAGAGAACACCAAGATTGGCAAATTCGCCACTGGCACCTTGTGCTCTTCACAGATGAAAGCAGGTTCACACTGAGCACACGTGACAGACGTGACAGAGTCTGGAGACGCCATGGAGAACGTTCTGCTGCCTGCAACATCCTCCAGCATGACCGGTTTGGCGGTGGGTCAGTCATGGTGTGGGGTGGCATTTCTTTGGGGGGCCGCACAGCCCTCCATGTGCTCGCCAGAGGTAGCCTGACTGCCATTAGGTACCGAGATGAGATCCTCAGACCCCTTGTGAGACCATATGCTGGTGCAGTTGGCCCTGGGTTCCTCCTAATGCAAGACAATGCTAGACCTCATGTGGCTGGAGTGTGTCAGCAGTTCCTGCAAGAGGAAGGCATTGATGCTATGGACTGGCCTGCCTGTTACCCAGACCTGAATCCAATTGAGCACATCTGGGACATCATGTCTCGCTCCATCCACCAACGCCACGTTGCACCACAGACTGTCCAGGAGTTGGCGGATGCTTTAGTCCAGGTCTGGGAGGAGATCCCTCAGGAGACCATCCGCCACCTCATCAGGAGCATGCCCAGGCGTTGTAGGGAGGTCATACAGGCACGTGGAGGCCACACACACTACTGAGCCTCATTTTGACTTGTTTTAAGGACATTACATCAAAGTTGGATCAGCCTGTAGTGTGGTTTTCCACTTTAATTTTGAGGGTGACTCCAAATCCAGACCTCCATGGGGTTGATAAATTTGATTTCCATTGATAATTTTTGTGTGATTTTGTTGTCAGCACATTCAACTATGTAAAGAAAAAAGTATTTAATAAGATTATTTCATTCATTCAGATCTAGGATGTGTTATTTTAGTGTTCCCTTTATTTTTTTGAGCAGTGTATATATGTTTACATGACTTATTTGATTGATTTCCATTTTATAAGTCAGAAGACAGCCATCCAGACCTTCCTAGGACCATGTAAAGGTCCTCTGTCGAATAAACGTGTATTTGCCTCCCTCTGGTGGTCGGCTGCATCATTACATCAATTTGTGTCACCAGTGCAATATTTTTATGTTCCTGTAGCGGATCGCCTGCGCCTCATTTCACATTCATAAACCATGTCGTGGGCCGTTCTGAAACTACTCACACATCAACGTTGTTAACCATTTGTTGACACTCTGTTCAGTCCTGTTACCTCATTGGCTAGCTAGTTACCATTCTGGTATCTTGACCAGTACATGTAAACATTCAGGGACACAGACAGAAAGGAAAAAGGGATATCTTCTTCAGGAGATCAATGATCATAGCTGAATCATGAATGAATGACTGATGTCTTGCATGTCATCATCACAAACCTGACGTTTTTTAAAGAGACAGTGTAACATTTTCTATGTAATGCATCTCAATAGGATATTAGTGCTTTTACACAACGTATTCGTATCAACATTTTAGCTTTTATAATAAATTAATGTATTTACATATTCGTTTCTGGGGCACAACGTGCTTCAAAAGTAGCTAGAATATTTCATATAGGCCCAACATAGCTGTATCTAAATCAATTTAAAAAATCATATTTTCTGCTGCTCCTAAGTTTCATGTGGTGCTCCTAACTTTTTAAAGTTAGGAGCACCAGTGCTACCAATGAAAATGTTTAATTTATAGCCCTGTCTGCAATTAACTTGTGCAATACTTTAGAAGATAAAGCACATCGCGTTCTTCATTTCACCCGTCACATTATTTTTCATTATGAATCTTACCGGTAGTCCCCGGTCACATGGTGTGTGTTAGGGATTAACATGGGTAACCGGGATCCTGCGATTCCCCCATCAACACTTCACTTTTACTGAAAAAAAATGGAATGACAAGACCCGGGAAATTACAACATTTTCCCCCAACATGAGCAGCATTAGATTAGCAAAAACTAAAATAGCACATTATCCATGGAAGACTTTAGCCTAATGTTTTTACTTCACACTAAGTCGCCATGAATTCAAAGCTTTATTGACACTGCACACACGACCCGAATAAATGCTTCACGGAGTTCAAGTAACAGACACATCTTCAATTTGGAGATTTTTGGTCCAAATGAGAGATTTTTGGTTCCAACCGCCGTGTCTTTGTGAGACGCGGTGTGGGTGAACGGATGATCTCTGCATTTGTATTTCCCACCATAAAGCATGGAGGAGGTGGTGTGATGGTGTGGGGGTGCTTTGCTGGTGACACTGTCTGTGATTTATTTAGAATTCAAGGCACGCTTAACCAGTATGGCTACCACAGCATTCTGCAGCGATACGCCATCCCATCTGGTTTGGGCTTAGTGGGACTATCATTTGTTTTTCAACAGGGCAATGACCCAACACACCTCCAGGCTGCGTAAGGGCTATTTCACTGTTCTGCAGCACGAATTCACAGCTAAATGTTTTCCAGCTAGATGCACTACATTACCAAAAGTATGTGGACACCTAATCGTCGAACATCTCATTCCAATATCATGGCCATTAATATGGAGTTGGCCCCCCCCCCTTTGGCTGCTATAACAGCCTCCACTCTTCTGGGAAGGCTTTCCACTAGATGTTGGAACATTGCTGCGAGGACTTGCTTCCATTCAGCCAAAAGCGCATTAGTGAGGTCGGGCACTGATGTTGGGCGATTAGGCCTGGCTCGCAGTCGGCGTTCCAATTCATCCCAAAGGTGTTCGATGGGGTTGAGGTCAGGGCTCTGTGCAGGCCAGTCAAGTTCTTCCACACACAAACTATTCTGTATGGACCCCGCTTTGTGCACGGAGGCATTGTCATGCTGAAACAGGGAAGGGCCTTCCCCAAACTGTTGCCACAAAGTTGGAAGCACAGAATTGTCTAGAATGTCATTGTATGCTGTAGCGTTAAGATTTCCCTTCACTGGAAATAAGGGGCCTAGCCCGAACCATGAAAAACAGCCCCAGACCATTATTCCTTCTTCACTAAATTTTACAGTTGGCACTATGGTAGCATTCTCCTGGCATTCGCCAAACCCAGATTCGTCCGTCGGACTGCCAGATGGTGAAACGTGATTCATCACTCCAGAGAATGCGTTTCCGCTGCTCCAGAGTCCAATGGTGGAGAGCTTTACACCACTCCAGCCGACGCTTGGCATTGCGCATAGTGATCTTAGGCTTGAAGCGGCTGCTCGGCCATCGAAACCCATTTCATGAAGCTTCCGACGAACAGTTATTGTGCTGACGTTGCAGTTTGGAACTCAGAAGTGAGTGTTGCAACCGAGGACAGCCGATTTTTACTTGCTTCAGCACTCGTCGGTCCTCTTCTGTGGCCTACCGTTTCGCAGCTGAGCCGTTGTTGCTCCTAGACGTTTCCACTTCACAATAACAGCACTTAGTTGACCGGGGCAGCTCTAGGAGGGCAGACATTTGACGAACTGACTTGTTGGAAAGGTGGCATCCTATGACGGTGCCACGTTGAAAGTCACTGAGCTCTTCAGTAAGGCCATTCTACTGCCAATGTTTTTCTATGGAGATTGCATGGCGGTGTGCTCGATTTTATACACCCGTCAGCAACGGGTGTGGCTGAAATAGGGGTGTCCACATACTCGATATTCTGGATGCAGTAATTGCAAAATTACTGCAGTAAAAAAAACGAATTTTGGACACAGTATTTGAAGCATACTGCAGTTATACTGCACTCTGACTGCAATATTTTTCCGTAAGGGCATACTTTTGTATGTAAAGTGTATCTTATAACTTTTAAGTTAACTGTTTAAAATCTGCTTGTAGTAACCTGGTATATTTATGTTAAGTATTATGTTTACCAATCGATGGCAGTATTGACTCAATACCACGTTTGCTTTCCGCCATCCCGTAACCGTTTAAATAGCTGAAATTATATTTTTTGTTGTTGCCTGTTTTGTATGTTATTTTGGCATTAATACGTGTCACATATCAGTTTGCAAACAATGTAAAAACGAAAAAACATTGAGTTAATAAAGCCGCATGCAAACATGGTCTCTTTTTTGCTTTCTTGAGTAAAGGCAGCTCCAAAATGCAGGTGTTTCAGCCTAGCTCAGTGCTTTCTGTGGTGGTGGGCCAGCCAGCGGAAAATACAAAGGGTAAGGGTTGGTAATGTTCTCTAAGTATGATGTTGACATGATCAGTCCAATCAAAGCTACTGTAGATATAACGTGATTTGACGTCATTTTATCTGTGGCCAAAGACCCTTGAGCCTTCTTGGATGGGCACTTCTAATGTAACTCTATGGCAGCACCCAAGGGGCTTGAATTTTCGAGCTCTACCCTTAGATTTGGCAGACATAGTGTCCCCATGAGTGACAGAACACTGAGCCAATCACGGCGCAACTACAGAACATTACCAACCCCTACGCTCCGTATGTTCCGCTGGCTGCCCCACCACCACAGAAAGCACTGAGCTAGGCTGAAACACCTGCATGTTGGAGCTGCCTTTACTCAGCTAGGCTGAAACACCTGCATTTTGGAGCTGCCTTTACTCAAGAAAGCGAAAAAAGAGACCATGTTTGCATGCGGCTTTATTAACTTTGGGTCTCTGCCCCACTTGCCCTGAATGACTGGTCACCACTGACTGAGAGACACCCCCCATTAAACTCATAACATACACACGGGAGAAAATTACGGTGATTTGGAGTTGCTGATGTTCAAGTGGAATATCAAGGACAAAAATAAAAGTCTGCCTCTTTTAGTAGTGGGTACTGGCCCCAGCTTACTAGGGAGAGGTCGGTTGGAGGAAATCAAACATGTCACCACAGAGACATTGACAGTGCAGCAGGTGCTATCAAAGCATGAGTGTGTTTTCAAAGAAGAGCTAAGGAAATTTAAAAGGGGTCCAAGCTACCATTCATGCTGCTGCAGATGCTACTCTCAGATTCATTAGGCCAAGATCAATTCCATATGCCATGAACCCTAAAGTGGATATGGAAATTGACACTCTTAAAAGAGGATATAATTATTCCTGTCAAGTTCTCTGAGTAGGCAGCACCAGTTGTTCCCATACTCAGACCAAATGGTTAAATCTATGTGGTGACTCTCTGGAGCTGTACCTCATACCCAGAGTGGAGGACTTGCTTTCAGCGTTAACTGGAGGGCAACAGTTCACAAAACTGGATGGAGAATGACGCAGAGAAACCTATCGGGTCCATGTCAAGAACATTGTCGCCAGCGGAGGAAAAAGTACACCCAGCTGGACAAGGAAGGACTGGCTGTCAAGTGCTAATAGTTGAAACTTCACAGAAGTACCTGACCATAAACACCCACAGAGGGATGTTTACCTACAAACGTTTACCTTTCAGGGTGTCCTCCGTGCCAGTTATCTTCCAAAGAACCGTGGAGGGAGTTCTGCAGGGGATACCCAAGGTAGCAGTTTACCTCGACGACATTCTTGTCACGAAGGAGGAGCATCTCAGAAACTTGGGTGAAGATTTGAGGAGGATAGAAGAGGCCGGTCTCCGGCTGAAGAGGAGCAAGTGTACGCTGTTTGCTGATGAAGTGCAGTACCTGGGTCACAAGGTGGACGCCAAGGGGTCCTTATACACAAGTACTTATACGGGAGAACATTCACTATTGTGACCGACCAGAAGCCTCTGTTCTCTCTGTTCCATGAACAAAAGCCAGTACCAGAAATGGTCTCTCCAAGAGTTCAACGTAGGGCTGTGTGGCTCAGGGCCTACGAGTACAGAATAATCTACAAGCCAGGTAGATACAATGAGAACACTGATGCTCTAAGTAGGCTGCCCGTTCCAGAAATAATCCCTCAGGAAGGAGAAAATGACTAAGTCTTGAAGATCGATGTGTTGGATGATGCTTAAACAAGCAGGATAGGACATTGGAACGTTCCCCAGAGTTGCAGTTGGACAAACAACCTGAGACCACCAGGACATTGGAACGTTCCCCAGAGTTGCAGTTGGACAAACAACCTGAGACCACCAGGACTTTGGAACGTTCCCCAGAGTTGCAGTTGGACAAACAACCTGAGACCACCAGGACTTTGTTGTGGTGAAGTGGTGAAGTGCTGTTGGCACCAGCTACACCACCTCGGAGACGCTCCATTAGAGAGAGAGACATCCGCCAGACTATTTCAGATCCTAAGGAAGATCATGTTCCTAGAGGTCAGCTACACCACCTCGGAGACGCTCCATTAGAGAGAGAGACATCCGCCAGACTATTTCAGATCCTAAGGAAGATCATGTTCCTAGAGGTCACTGAAGTAAAAAAAATAAAAACAAGTAAATATATAAATAATGAATTATGAATAGGATTGTAAAAAACAAACAAGAAATGTGATTGTTATGAAAAATCATAAATGTTTAGTTGGCAGCCTAGCTCAGAAAGGAATTAAGTTGATTTATTAGCCAAAAAGGGGGGAATGTAGTAACCTGGGAAATGTATGTTAAGTATTATGTTTACCAATAGATGGCAGTATTGACTCAATACGGGGTTTGCGTTCCGCTATCCGTAGCCATTTCAATGTCTGACCATATAACCGTGCTCAGATAGCTTACACCAGGTGAATTCCTGTAATGTTATTCTAAGTTACAATTAAATACTAAAACGTACGTACTTGTCCGGTGTCATCGATCTAAGAAGCATCCTAAGATACCACAGTGCTAAATGCTCTGAAGTGGTGCATTTGGTTTGCTAACTTAGTAGGTATCTAGCTCAGGGGTCTTCAGACAACTTTTTTTTTTTATAGCTTTCGATGTAAGGCACATTCTTCTCTACCCTGAAACTCTTCCCCGGGTCCGTGATATACAAGAGATGTGTTTTCTGTCAATATACCTGGTACAGTAATGGTTAATAAACAACTCTTAAGGGGGCCCCATCAAATATTTGTGGGTATTTTCCGGAATTCTGTTTTATATTTCCAGTTTTTTTTTCCTTCTTCAGTTTTTTACTCTAATGGATGTTCTGAGTCTATGTCAATGCTTAAATCACATCAGAAGACCAATTTGTGAGCTCTCAGGAAAAAAAAGCAAACACATTTAGATTTTTGAGTGTGATTCCCGTTTAATTGTGTATTAAGCGAAAGCGGAACGTGTCGGTCTAGTGATGTTTCTGCTGTTAGCCCCACTGCTACAGAACATGTCACGGCAGAGTTTGCAAAACAATGGCCACCCAATTGATACAAATATTCATGAGATCTTTGTCAGGTAAGCCTACTTTGCAGTTCACATTTAATTGAGAAGGTTTTTGGGGAAAGTATTTGTCTACCCACAAAACGGTTATCATTAGCATTGCTTACTGGCTACATACGGAGTGATAGACAAATGCGTGCACCAAACAGAAAGACGGGCAATATTGCTGGAAATTAATTGGCAGATATTGTTACGTTTGGCTTTTTAAGCCAATAGTGGCTAACCAGGAGTGGGATAATGTTGATGTAGCTTTGATTAGATAGTTGCTGGGAGCTTTATATTTATCACAGTTTGCGATTGAACACATGAAAAAAAAAATACTTTCAGCTTGGCGAGCTACTGGTAGCTGGTGATCTGCCTGTTGAAGGCCCCTGATGTAGCTGGTGATCTACCTGTTGAAGGCCGATGATGTAGCTGGTGATCTGCCTGTTGAAGGCCCCTGATCTAGCTGGTTAGCTTCTTGCGAAATCAAACTCCTCTTGGTAACACCAGAGAATCCCCTCCTGGATCAAGAGCCTTGCTGTCTAATATTTGTTTTGTGCGTGCCTGGGATGGCTGTCCTGTAAATAGCTTATGTCAGAGACTGCATAAAATCCCACTTCTGACACCAATGTAGCGAACAGCAGGGCAGGGGAACGAAACCGGGTCGCTGGTGTGAAAGATCACATGTAGCTCAGTTGGTAGAGCATGGTGCTTGCAACACCAGGGTTGTGGGTTCGATTCCCACGGGGGACCAGTATGAAAATGTAGGTACTCACTACTGTAAGTCGCTTTGGATAAAAGTGTCTGCAAAATTGCATATTCTTCTAATCTGAACAAAAATATAATCGCAACATGTGAAGTGTTGGTCCCATGTTTCATGAGCTGAAATAAAAGATCCCAGAAATGTTCCTTACTCACAAAAAACGTATTTCTCAAAAATGTTGTGCACAAATTTGTTGACATCCCTGTTAGTTAGCTTTTTTTTTTTTTTTTTTTTTTTTTAATGCCATTTAGCAGACGCTTTTATCCAAAGCGACTTACAGTCATGCGTGCATACATTTTTGTGTATGGGTGGTCCGGGACAATCCATCCACCTGACAGGTGTGGCATATCAACAAGCTGATTAAACAGCATGATCATTACACAGGTGCACCTTGTGCTGGGGACAATAAAATGCCACTAAAAAATTTGCAAAGATGTGTCAAGTTTTGAGGGAGCGTGCAATTGGCATGAAGATTGCAGGAATGTCCACCTGAGCTGTTGCCAGTGAATTGAATGTTAATTTCTCTAACATCGTTGTTTTAGAGAATTTGGCAGTACGTCCAACCGACCTCACAACCGCAGACCACGTGTAACCACGCCAGCCCAGGACCTCCCCAGACCACGTGTAACCACGCCAGCCCAGGACCTCCCCAGACCACGTGTAACCACGCCAGCCCAGGACCTCCCCAGACCACGTGTAACCACGCCAGCCCAGGACCTCCCCAGACCACGTGTAACCACGCCAGCCCAGGACCTCCACATCCGGCTACTTCACCTGCGGGATCGTCTGAGACCAGCCACCCGGACAGCTGATGAAACTGTGGGTTTGCACAACCGAATAATTTCTGCACAAACTGTCAGAAACCGTCTCAGGGAAGCTCATCTGCGTGCTCGTCGTCCTCACCAGGGTCTTGGCCTTACTGAAGTCCGGCGTTGTAACCGACTTGTGGGCAAATGCTCACCTTCGATGGCCACTGGCACGCTGGAGAAGTATGCTCTTCACGGATGAATCCCGGTTTCAACTATACCTGGCAGATGGCAGACAGTATATGGCGTCGTGTGGGTTCGAGCGGTTTGCTGATGTCAACGTTGTGAACAGGTTATGGTATGGGCAAGTCTAAGCTACGGACAACTAACACAATTGCATTTTATCGATGGCAATTTGAATGCACAGAGATACCGTGACGAGATCCTGAGGCCCATTGTCCTGCCATTTATCCACCTCCATCGCCACATGTTTCAGCATGATAATGCACAACCCCATGCCGCAAGGATCTGTACACAATTTCTGGAAGCTGAAAATGTCCCAGTTCTTCCATGGCCTGCATACTCCCCAGACATGTCAGTCATTGAGCATGTTTGGAATGCTCTGGATCGACGTGTACGACAGCATGTTCCAGTTCCCACCAATAGCCAGCAACTTCGCACAGCCATTGAAGAGAAGTTGTTTTCTGATCCACGCCCCTACTTTTTTTTAAAGGTATCTGTGACCCAACAGATGCATATCTGTATTCCCAATTATGTGAACTCCATAGTTTAGGGCCTAATGAATTTATTTAAATTGACTGATTTCGTTATATGAACTGTAACTCAGTAAAATCTTTGAAATTGTTGCGTTTATATTTTTGTTCACTGTATATTCTTCTAAAATATTTGCAAATCATAAATTAGCATTTAACTAGCATTCGCTATGGGATTTTACGTTTACTTGTTAGCATTGCTAACCTTCGGATTACAGAGACTCAGTGGGGTTTGAAAATAGCGGCCCTTATATTCAGTGCCGGTATTACTGAATATCCCGGTTTGGCACAAGGTCGGTATGAAGGTATGACAATATGGATACCGCCTAGTATGTTAGATGGGAGAGAAATGAGCAAATACTGTAGGCATTACAGTCCTGTATGTATTTCTGACTCGTACCTCCCACAGTGAATAAAGCTTGAAGGAATCTCCAATCAAAGTCTCTGAGACATCAAATCAAATCACATGTTTATTTGCCACATGCGCCGAATACAACAGGTGTAGACCTTACAGTGAAATGCTTACTTACAAGCCCTTAACCAACAATGCAGTTTTAAGAAGAAAAAAATAGTGTTAAGTAAAAAAATACAATAATTTTTTTTTTAAAGAGCAGCAGTAAAATAAAATAACAGTAGGGAGGCTATATACAGGGGGTACCGGTACAGAGTCAATGTGCGGGGGCACTGGTTAGTCTTCATCTGTTGGTGTAATGTTGTAACCGTGGTGGAAGGCTCTAAACGTTGTGTTTTGTGTGTGATTGCGTGTTGAGGTGGTAACCTGTGTGTTGAGGTGGTAACCTGCGTGTTGAGGTGTTAACCTGCGTGTTGAGGTGGTAACCTGCGTGTTGAGGTGGTAACCTGCGTGTTGAGGTGTTAACCTGTGTGTTGAGGTGGTAACCTGCGTGTTGAGGTGGTAACCTGCGTGTTGAGGTGGTAACCTGCGTGTTGAGGTGGTAACCTGCGTGTTGAGGTGTTAACCTGCGTGTTGAGGTGGTAACCTGCGTGTTGAGGTGTTAACCTGCGTGTTGAGGTGGTAACCTGCGTGTTGAGGTGGTAACCTGCGTGTTGAGGTGGTAACCTGCGTGTTGAGGTGTTAACCTGCGTGTTGAGGTGTTAACCTGCGTGTTGAGGTGTTAACCTGCGTGTTGAGGTGGTAACCTGCGTGTTGAGGTGTTAACCTGCGTGTTGAGGTGGTTAACCTGCGTGTTGAGGTGTTAACCTGCGTGTTGAGGTGTAACCTGCGTGTTGAGGTGTAACCTGCGTGTTGAGGTGTTAACCTGCGTGTTGAGGTGTAACCTGCGTGTTGAGGTGTTAACCTGCGTGTTGAGGTGTTAACCTGCGTGTTGAGGTGTTAACCTGCGTGTTGAGGTGTTAACCTGCGTGTTGAGGTGGTAACCTGCGTGTTGAGGTGTTAACCTGCGTGTTGAGGTGTTAACCTGCGTGTTGAGGGGTTAACCTGCGTGTTGTGTTTTCTCCCCAGGACCTGAATAAGAGACAAGGCCTAGCCCTGCTCTCTAAGATGGGGGAGTCGGTGAAGCACGTGACAGGAGGGTACAAGCTGAGGGGCCGACCCATGGAGTTTTCTGTTATGGGAGACTACCTGGATTTGTTCACACAGAAGCTGGGTACCATCGACAGGATAGCGCAGAGAATCATCAAAGAACAGTCCGGTAGGTAACAGGGAGGTAAAGGTTATTGCTGGGTCTTTTCTGACTGTCGCTTTGCCTCTAGCTGGGCTGTGACTCTCTGTCTGACTCTGTGTCAGTGACTCCCTGGTGTGTGTGTGTGTGTGTGTGTGCAGCTAACTCTCTCTCTGTGTATGTGTGTGTGCAGCTAACTCTCTGTGTGTGTGTGTGTGTGTGTCTGTGTGTGTCTGTGTGTGTGTGTGTGTGTGTGTGTGTGTGTGTGTGTGTGTGTGTGCAGCTAACTCTCTGTGTGTGTGTGTGTGCAGCTAACTCTCTCTGTGTGTGTGTGTGTGTGTCTGTGTGTGTCTGTGTGTGTGTGTGTGTGTGTGTGTGTGTGTGTGCAGCTAACTCTGTCTGTGTGTGTGTACCTGGTAGAGCTGCGTGAGTACGGTCCTGTCTACACCACCTGGACTGTCTCCTCTTTCCTCTCTGCTCTCTCTGACTACTGTGTCCCTCCTCCCCTGTGTACTCAGAGTACCTGGTAGAGCTGCGTGAGTACGGTCCTGTCTACACCACCTGGACTGCCTCCTCTTTCCTCTCTGCTCTCTCTGACTACTGTGTCCCTCCTCCCCTGTGTATTCAGAGTACCTGGTAGAGCTGCGTGAGTACGGTCCTCTCTACACCACCTGGGCGGCGTCGGAGGCGGAGCTACAGGAGCCCCTGGAGGGCGTGTCCGGCTGCATAGCTAACTGCTCCAGCGCTCTGGACGAACTCACCGAGGACATGAGCGAAGACTTCCTGCCTGTGCTCCGAGAATACGTCCTCTACATTGAGTCCGTAAAGGTACAGTAGAATACAGTAGAATGATTCCATGAAGGTACAGTAGAATGCAGTAGAATGATTCCATGAAGGTACAGTAGAATACAGTAAAGGACAGTATACCGAAACTTCAGTACGTTTTCAATACTAGAACATGAAACACTTTCGGTACGTCTGTCAAATGTGTCTTATGCCGTCTACTGATTTGAGAGGATCAGTTCTGTCTACCAGCGAAGCCTTTATAGCCTTATAACACCGTGCATGTCTTTTTCCTGCTCCACTTACTGCTGACGAGAAAACCACTGGCAGTCTGGGCTGCATCATGTTAGCTCCCCACTCATACTGGCTCAAGCCTGTTCTGAGGAACCACTGAACCCACTGGCAGTCTGGGCTGCATCATGTTAGCTCCCCACTCATGTTACACTGAAGTTAACACATTTGAATAATGCAACACGGCATGTAGAAATGTTGAATCTGTTAATTACTGTTCGTGAAACAATGTCATTGCAGGCTAGAACACTTTACAATGCAAGAAGATACCGGTAGCTTTCATCTTTGTAGGCTAACTTTCCTTCACTAACATCAATTCACTACCCTAGTACTTTGTTTGTGATCATATGCAAACCACAACACAAAATATGCTGATTTCCTTCACTGACCAAACTGCAGTTCGCGAACGATTTAGTTCTATTTGAACTACTCTTTTTACTGACTGTTGAATCATGATTAATTTTTCTGAGTACATTTTTTGTCATTCGTTTGACCTGCTGGCTGGCCGCAATGAATTCTAAAGCAGGATTAATACGCACTCCTCCGGCTCAGCGGCTCTGGAGACGTGCTCAGTTTTCTCCACACACAGCCATTAAACTCTGTAAAGTCACCGTTGGCCTCATGGTGAAATCCCTGAGCGATTTCCTTCCTCTCCGGCAACTAAGTTAGGAAGGACGCCTGTATCTTTGTAGTGACTGGGTGTATTGATACACCATCCAAAGTGTAATTAATAACTTCACCATGCTCAAAGGGATATTCAATGTCTGCTTTTTTTATTTTTACCCATCTACCAATAGGTGCCCTTCTTTGTGAGGCATTGAAAAACCTCCCTGGTCTTTGTGGTTGAATTTGTGTTTGAAATTCACTGCTCGACTGAGGGACCTTACAGATAATTGTATGTGCGGGGTACAGATGAGGTAGTCATTCAAAAATCATGTTAAACACTTATGTGATTTGTTAAGCACATTAGTACTCCTGAACTTATTTAGGCTTGCCATAACAAAGGGGTTGAATACTTATTGACTCAAGACATTTCAGCTTTTCATTTTTAATTTAATTTGTCAAAGTTTAAAAAAAACATAATTCCACCTTGCCATTATGGGGTGCTGTATGTAGGCCTGTTATAAGCCATTTGCATTTGAATGTGCTGTAACACAACAACATGTGGAAACAGTCGAGGGTTGGGAAATACTTTCTGAAGGCACATATTTCAGTCAAATTGCTTTTCAGCCTGGAGAGTCTGGTTTCCTCTCTCTCTCTCTCTCTAATGTCCTCTCACCTGCCAGACTGCTGAGGAAGCAGACTTTCACCACATCAGGACGTGTCGCTTCCTCTTTCCCTAGAATGACTTTTGCTGACAAGTCATGTTTGTGTTGAGACATAATGAGAGCTGTCTTGGGGTTAAGGTTTCCTCAGGCAATAGAATTTGGTGTTTATCTCAGATTTTCACTTCCACCCATCCTAACCCTAACCTGTCATTGTTTAAATTTAGATTTGGTATACACAACGCCTGCAAAAGTATTCAGACCCCTTTTTAATTTCTTCACGTTTTATTGTGTTACAAAGTGGGATTAAAATTGATTTAATTGTCAGTTTTTGTCAACAATATACACAAAATACTCTGTCAAAGTGGAAGAAAGATTAATAAACATATTATATAACTCAAGTATAGTCGTTGCATAAGTATTCAGCCCCTTTGTTTAGGCAAGCCTAAATGAGTTCAGGAGTAGAATTTGGCTTAACAAATCACTTAATAAATTACATGGACTCACTCTGTGTGAAATAATAGTGGTTGACACTAAATGACTAACCCTTCCTCTGTCCTCCATACATACATCTGTAAGTCCCTCAGTCAAGTATTGAATTTCAAGCACAGATTCAACTACAAAGACCAGGGAGCTTTTAGAAAGCCTCATAAAGAAGGGCAGTGATTGGTAGATGATTAACAATAACAAATCAGACATTGAATATCTCTTTAAGCCGTGGTCAAGTTAATAATGATGCTGTGGATTATATATTAAACCACCCAGACACATCAAAGATACAGTCGTCCTTCGGAACTGAGCTGCAGGACAGGAATGAAACTGCTCAGGGATGTCACCGTGAGGCCATTGGTGATTTTAAAATGGCTACAGAGTTCAACGGCTGTGATGGGAGAGAACTGAGGATGGATCAACAACATTGTAGTGACTCCACAATACTAACCTAAATGACAGAGTGAAAAGAACACAAATATAAAAAATATTCCAAAACATGAATCTTGTTTAGAAAACAAGGCACTAAAGTAATACTGCAACAACAACAAAACATGGCAAAGGAATACACTTTCTGGCATAAATGCAAAGCCTTTGGGGCAAATCCAACACTTCACTGAGTACCACTCTTCGTATTTTCAAGCATGGTGGTGACTGCATCGGGTTATGGGTGTGCTTGACATTGGCAAATACTGGGGAGATTTTCAGGATAAAAATAAACAGGATAGGGCTAAGCACAGGCAAAATCCTAGAGGAAAACCTGGTTCAGTCTGCTTTACACCAGACACTGGGAGAGGAATTCACCTTTCAGCAGGACAATAACCTAAAACACAAGGCCAAATCTACACTGGAGTTGGTTACCAAGACGACAGTGAATGTTCTTAAGTGACCAAGTTACGGTTGCTTGAAATACTATGGCAAGACTTGAAAATTGCTGTCTATCCATAATCAATAACAATAGGCAAATATCGTAGGCTTGGGCGGTATACTGTATATACCGTTTGCTAATTTAGTAGCTAGTTCGCTGTCTAGCTAAGTGGTTAGCTTCTTCCAAAATCAAGCATTTGCTTGGTAACAGCAGAGAATCCCCTCCTAGATCAAGAACCTTGCTGGCTAATATTCATTTTGCGCGTGCAGCTAACTGACTCGCAATTTGGAGTTACTTTTATACTTGTATAGTTTAGGTCACAAAATACAAAATGTTTGCAATGTGCTCGTTAGCATTCTCTATGAGGATTCCTTAGTGTTTGTTAGCATTCTGGTAAGTTATGTTTTTTGGGCATTGAATATTAGTACTTTTTAGAGCAACTTACAGTTATTGAGTGCATACATTATTTTTTTATTTTTCATACTGGCCCCCCGTGGGAATCGAACCCACAACCCTGGCGTTGCAAGCGCCATGCTCTACCAACTGAGCTACATCCCTGCCAGCCATTCTCTCCCCTACCCTGGACGACGCTGGGCCAATTGTGCGCCGCCCCATGGGTCTCCCTGTCGCGGGCGGCTATGACAGAGCCTGGATTCGAACCAGGATCTCTAGTGGCACAGCTAGCACTGCGATGCAGTGCCTTAGACCACTGCGCCAGTCGGGAGGTTAAGAAGGTTTCATGCAGTGTTTTCCCCTTACTGACACAATGACATGCAGATCATTATGCATGTATATTCCTTCCTCCCATTCCTAAGGTAGGCCTTAGCAAATATGATCAAATCAGCCATTTTATGCAGTATTCTATTATACACTGAACAGTGTGAAGTTAAATTCAATGTGTTGTATTGAGTAGAAGTGTGCATTTCAGTGACATGTTTTTGGGGAAGGTTTAGAAAACTTGAAAAAGCGTCCGGGGGACTTGGCGAACATAATGCTAGGCCACTGATTTTTAACCACCGTGTTTCGCGATACTAATCTGTATCGCGATACTTAGCCTGGTATCGTGTCATTTGTAAAATGTTGTTATCGTGACAACACTAGTCCAAATACTTTTGTATATATATAGTGTACTTGCATAACTTTGAGCTGGGTTGTCTCTCCTAGTAGTAAATGTTTGCATGCGCTCGTTAGCATTTGCCTAGCATCCGCTATGAGAATTCCTTAGTACGTGTTAGCATTTTGTTAGCATTCTGCGAAGTGACGTTTATTTGGGGCTTTGAATATTAGTACTTTTTAAATAAATACCTGCAGTCAACTTGTGCACTAGGTAATAGATAAAGCAAAACAAAATATTGCCCCTTGTGTGCATTACTGGTAATACCATATATCCCGGGATGGCACAGGCACGGTAATACCATATATCCCGGGATGGCACAGGCACGGTAATACCATATATCCCGGGATGGCACAGGCACGGTAATACCATATATCCCGGGATGGCACAGGCACGGTAATACCATATATCCCGGGATGGCACAGGCACGGTAATACCATATATCCCGGGATGGCACAGGCACGGTATGGAAATCAGTATACCGTCCAACCCTATGATATTGTACAATCCAGGTGTGCGTAGCGCTTAGAGATTTACCCAGAAAGCCTCACAGCTGTAATCGCTGCCAAAGGTGTTTCTAACATGTATGGACTCAGGGAGATGAATACTTATGCAACAACTATATTTAATTTATTACATTTTTATTAATCTTTTAAAAAATATAAATACTTTTGCAAGGCACTGTAAATGTTGTTTTTATTCAAGATGAAAACGAATATTAAATTATGATTAAACTATGATTTTAATTAAGAAGTTTGGATTGCAATTATGAGCATAATGAATGCCTCCAGACAGGGGGGGATCTCAGAGGTGGATCTCAGAGGGGGATCTCAGAGGGGGATCTCAGAGGGGGATCTCAGAGGGGGATCTCTGAGGGGGATCTCTGAGGGGGATCTCTGAGGGGGATCTCTGAGGGGGATCTCTGAGGAGGGTGTGTGAACCTCAGCCATTCTTAGGCTTCCAAGTGGCTGTAGCGGTCTGGCTTGTCTCTGCAGCCGGCTGCTAACATCTGCCGTGTTTTGCTCTGTCAGGCTGCTCTAAAGGAGAGGGACTGTGTGTGTGTTATTTTACATCTGGGGCGGCAGGTAGCTCAGTGGTTAAGAGCGTTGTCCCCGAGCTGACTAGGCGAAAAATCTGTCGATGTGCCCTTAACCCGAATTGCTCCTGTAAGTCGCTCTGGATAAGAGCGTTTGCTAAATGACTAAAATGTAAATGTAAAATGTGTTTGCTCTGCTGTCAGGCTGTTCTGAAGAAGAGGGACAACATCCAGGCGGAATACGAGGCTAAACTGGAAGCTGCTGCCTTCCAGAAAGAAGAGAGGCCAGCAGCCACAGTGAGTCTAGTCCTGTGGTCCCTAGAGTCTAGTCTACTCAACACCCTGTGGGCCCTAGAGTCTAGTCTGCTCAACACCCTGTGGGCCCTAGAGTCTAGTCTACTCAACACCCTGTGGGCCCTAGAGTCTAGTCTACTCAACACCCTGTGGGCCCTAGAGTCTAGTCTACTCAACACCCTGTGGGCCCTAGAGTCTAGTCTACTCAACACCCTGTGGGCCCTAGAGTCTAGTCTACTCAACACCCTGTGGGCCCTAGAGTCTAGTCTACTCAACACCCTGTGGGGCCCTAGAGTCTAGTCTACTCAACACCCTGTGGGCCCTAGAGTCTAGTCCTACTCAACACCCTGTGGGCCCTAGAGTCTAGTCTACTCAACACCCTGTGGGCCCTAGAGTCTAGTCTACTCAACACCCTGTGGGCCCTAGAGTCTAGTCTACTCAACACCCTGTGGGCCCTAGAGTCTAGTCTACTCAACACCCTGTGGGCCCTAGAGTCTAGTCTACTCAACACCCTGTGGGCCCTAGAGTCTAGTCTACTCAACCACCCTGTGGGCCCTAGAGTCTAGTCTACTCAACACCCTGTGGGCCCTAGAGTCTAGTCTACTCAACACCCTGTGGGCCCTAGAGTCTAGTCTACTCAACACCCTGTGGGCCCTAGAGTCCTAGTCTACTCAACACCCTGTGGGCCCTAGAGTCCTAGTCTACTCAACACCCTGTGGGCCCCTAGAGTCTAGTCTACTCAACACCCTGTGGGCCCTAGAGTCTAGTCTACTCAACACCCTGTGGGCCCTAGAGTCTAGTCTACTCAACACCCTGTGGGCCCTAGAGTCTAGTCTACTCAACACCCTGTGGGCCCTAGAGTCTAGTCTACTCAACACCCTGTGGGCCCTAGAGTCTAGTCTACTCAACACCCTGTGGGTGCTGTCCCCTCCCTACAGCAGGTGCTGTTTCCTGTCCCCTCCCTACAGCAGGTGCTGTTCCCTGTCCCCTCCCTACAGCAGGTGCTGTTCCCTGTCCCCTCCCTACAGCAGGTGCTGTTCCCTGTCCCCTCCCTACAGCAGGTGCTGTTCCCTGTCCCCTCCCTACAGCAGGTGCTGTTCCCTGTCCCCTCCCTACAGCAGGTGCTTAGTTCTGTTCCCTGTCCCCTCCCTACAGCAGGTGCTGTTCCCTGTCCCCTCCCCACAGCAGGTGCTGTTCCCTGTCCCCTCCCTACAGCAGGTGCTTAGTTCTGTTCCCTGTCCCCTCCCCACAGCAGGTGCTGTTCCCTGTCCCCTCCCTACAGCAGGTGCTGTTCCCTGTCCCCTCCCTACAGCAGGTGCTGTCCTCTGTCCCCTCCCTACAGCAGGTGCTGTCCCCTGTCCCCTCCCTACAGCAGGTGCTGTTCCCTGTCCCCTCCCTACAGCAGGTGCTTAGTTCTGTTTCCTGTCCCCTCCCTACAGCAGGTGCTGTTCCCTGTCCCCTCCCTACAGCAGGTGCTGTTCCCTGTCCCCTCCCTACAGAAGATGCTTAGTTCTGTCCCCTGTCCCCTCCCTACAGCAGGTGCTGTTCCCTGTCCCCTCCCTACAGCAGGTGCTGTTCCCTGTCCCCTCCCTACAGCATGTGCTTAGTTCTGTCCCCTGTCCCCTCCCCACAGCAGGTGCTGTTCCCTGTCCCCTCCCTACAGCAGGTGCTGTTCCCTGTCCCCTCCCTACATCAGGTGCTTAGTTCTGTTTCCTGTCCCCTCCCTACAGCAGGTGCTGTTCCCTGTCCCCTCCCTACAGCAGGTGCTGTTCCCTGTCCCCTCCCTACAGAAGATGCTTAGTTCTGTTTCCTGTCCCCTCCCTACAGCATGTGCTTAGTTCTGTTCCCTGTCCCCTCTCTACAGCAGGTGCTGTTCCCTGTCCCCTCCCTACAGCAGGTGCTGTCCCCTGTCCCCTCCCTACAGAAGGTGCTTAGTTCTGTCCCCTGTCCCCTCCCTACAGAAGGTGCTTAGTTCTGTCCCCTGTCCCCTCTCTACAGCAGGTGCTTAGTTCTGTTCCCTGTCCCCTCTCTACAGAAGGTGCTTAGTTCTGTTCCCTGTCCCCTCTCTACAGAAGGTGCTTAGTTCTGTCCCCTGTCCCCTCTCTACAGCAGGTGCTGTTCCCTGTCCCCTCTCTACAGAAGGTGCTTAGTTCTGTCCCCTGTCCCCTCCCTACAGAAGGTGCTTAGTTCTGTCCCCTGTCCCCTCTCTACAGAAGGTGCTTAGTTCTGTCCCCTGTCCCCTCTCTACAGAAGGTGCTTAGTTCTGTCCCCTGTCCCCTCCCTACGGAAGGTGCTTAGTTCTGTCCCCTGTCCCCTCTCTACAGCAGGTTCTGTCCCCTGTCCCCTCTCTACAGAAGGTGCTTAGTTCTGTTCCCTGTCCCCTCTCTACAGAAGGTGCTTAGTTCTGTCCCCTGTCCCCTCCCTACAGAAGGTGCTTAGTTCTGTCCCCTGTCCCCTCTCTACAGCAGGTTCTGTCCCCTGTCCCCTCTCTACAGAAGGTGCTTAGTTCTGTCCCCTGTCCCCTCTCTACAGCAGGTGCTGTTCCCTGTCCCCTCTCTACAGAAGTTGCTTAGTTCTGTCCCCTGTCCCCTCTCTACAGCAGGTGCTGTTCCCTGTCCCCTCCCTACAGAAGGTGCTTAGTTCTGTCCCCTGTCCCCTCTCTACAGCAGGTTCTGTCCCCTGTCCCCTCTCTACAGAAGGTGCTTAGTTCTGTCCCCTGTCCCCTCTCTACAGAAGGTGCTTAGTTCTGTCCCCTGTCCCCTCTCTACAGCAGGTGCTTAGTTCTGTCCCCTGTCCCCTCCCTACAGCAGGTGCTGTTCCCTGTCCCCTCCCCACAGCAGGTGCTGTTCCCTGTCCCCTCCCTACAGCAGGTGCTTAGTTCTGTTCCCTGTCCCCTCCCCACAGCAGGTGCTTAGTTCTGTCCCCTGTCCCCTCCCTACAGCAGGTGCTTAGTTCTGTTCCCTGTCCCCTCCCCACAGCAGGTGCTTAGTTATGTCCCCTGTCCCCTCCCTACAGCAGGTGCTTAGTTCTGTTCCCTGTCCCCTCCCCACAGCAGGTGCTTAGTTCTGTCCCCTGTCCCCTCTCTACAGCAGGTGCTTAGTTCTGTCCCCTGTCCCCTCCCCACAGCAGGTGCTTAGTTCTGTCCCCTGTCCCCTCCCTACAGCAGGTGCTTAGTTCTGTTTCCTGTCCCCTCCCCACAGCAGGTGCTGTTCCCTGTCCCCTCCCTACAGCAGGTGCTGTTCCCTGTCCCCTCCCTACAGCAGGTGCTGTTCCCTGTCCCCTCCCTACAGCAGGTGCTGTTCCCTGTCCCCTCCCTACAGCAGGTGCTGTTCCCTGTCCCCTCCCTACAGAAGGTGCTTAGTTCTGTTCCCTGTCCCCTCCCTACAGAAGGTGCTTAGTTCTGTTCCCTGTCCCCTCCCCACAGCAGGTTCTGTTCCCTGTCCCCTCTCTACAGCAGGTGCTGTTCCCTGTCCCCTCCCTACAGAAGGTGCTTAGTTCTGTCCCCTGTCCCCTCCCTACAGAAGGTGCTGTTCCCTGTCCCCTCCCTACAGCAGGTGCTGTTCCCTGTCCCCTCCCTACAGAAGGTGCTTAGTTCTGTTCCCTGTTCCCTCCCTACAGCAGGTGCTGTCCCCTGTCCCCTCCCTACAGCAGGTGCTGTTCCCTGTCCCCTCCCTACAGAAGGTGCTTAGTTCTGTTCCCTGTCCCCTCTCTACAGAAGGTGCTTAGTTCTGTCCCCTGTCCCCTCCCTACAGAAGGTGCTTAGTTCTGTTCCCTGTCCCCTCTCTACAGAAGGTGCTTAGTTCTGTCCCCTGTCCCCTCTCTACAGCAGGTGCTGTTCCCTGTCCCCTCCCTTCAGCAGGTGCTTAGTTCTGTTCCCTGTCCCCTCCCTACAGCAGGTGCTGTTCCCTGTCCCCTCCCTACAGCAGGTGCTGTTCCCTGTCCCCTCTCTACAGAAGGTGCTTAGTTCTGTTCCCTGTCCCCTCTCTACAGAAGGTGCTTAGTTCTGTCCCCTGCCCCCTCCCTACAGCAGGTGCTGTTCCCTGTCCCCTCCCTACAGCAGGTGCTGTTCCCTGTCCCCTCTCGACAGAAGGTGCTTAGTTCTGTTCCCTGTCCCCTCTCTACAGAAGGTGCTTAGTTCTGTCCCCTGTCCCCTCCCTACAGAAGGTGCTTAGTTCTGTTCCCTGCCCCCTCCCTACAGAAGGTGCTTAGTTCTGTCCCCTGTCCCCTCCCCACAGCAGGTGCTGTTCCCTGTCCCCTCTCTACAGAAGGTGCTTAGTTCTGTCCCCTGTCCCCTCCCCACAGCAGGTGCTGTTCCCTGTCCCCTCCCTACAGCAGGTGCTGTTCCCTGTCCCCTCCCTACAGAAGGTGCTTAGTTCTGTCCCCTTTCCCCTCCCTAAAGCAGGTGCTGTTCCCTGTCCCCTCCCTACAGAAGGTGCTTAGTTCTGTCCCCTGTCCCCTCCCTAAAGCAGGTGCTGTCCCCTGTCCCCTCTCTACAGCAGGTGCTGTTCCCTGTCCCCTCCCTACAGCATGTGCTTAGTTCTGTCCCCTGTCCCCTCTCTATAGCAGGTGCTGTTTCCTGTCCCCTCTCTACAGCAGGTGCTTAGTTCTGTCCCCTGTCCCCTCCCTACAGCAGGTGCTGTTTCCTGTCCCCTCTCTACAGCAGGTGCTTAGTTCTGTCCCCTGTCCCCTCCCTACAGCAGGTGCTTAGTTCTGTCCCCTGTCCCCTCCCTACAGAAGGTGCTTAGTTCTGTCCCCTGTCCCCTCCCTACAGCAGGTGCTTAGTTCTGTCCCCTGTCCCCTCTCTACAGCAGGTGCTTAGTTCTGTCCCCTGTCCCCTCCCTACAGAAGGTGCTTAGTTCTGTCCCCTGTCCCCTCCCTACAGCAGGTGCTTAGTTCTGTCCCCTGTCCCCTCCCTACAGCAGGTGCTTAGTTCTGTCCCCTGTCCCCTCCCTACAGAAGGTGCTTAGTTCTGTCCCCTGTCCCCTCCCTACAGCAGGTGCTTAGTTCTGTCCCCTGTCCCCTCTCTACAGAAGGTGCTTAGTTCTGTCCCCTGTCCCCTCCCTACAGAAGGTGCATAGTTCTGTCCCCTGTCCCCTCCCTACAGAAGGTGCTTAGTTCTGTCCCCTGTCCCCTCCCTACAGCAGGTGCCTGCAGACGTGGAGAAGTGCCAGGACAGAGTGGAGTGTTTCAATGCTGACCTGAAGTCGGACTGGGACCGCTGGCAGAACAACAAGAGACAAGACTTCAGACAGCTACTGACTGGCATGGCCGACCACAACATCCACTACTATGAGAAGGTAAGAGGGGAGACTTCAGACAGCTACTGACTGGCATGGCCGACCACAACATCCACTACTATGAGAAGGTAAGAGGGGAGACTTCAGACAGCTACTGACTGGCATGGCCGACCACAACATCCACTACTATGAGAAGGTAAGAGGGGAGACTTCAGACAGCTACTGACTGGCATGGCCGACCACAACATCCACTACTATGAGAAGGTAAGAGGGGAGACTTCAGACAGCTACTGACTGGCATGGCCGACCACAACATCCACTACTATGAGAAGGTAAGAGGGGAGACTTCAGACAGCTACTGACTGGCATGGCCGACCACAACATCCACTACTATGAGAATGTAAGAGGGGAGACTTCAGACAGCTACTCACTGGCATGGCCGACCACAACATCCACTACTATGAGAAGGTAAGAGGGGAGACTTCAGACAGCTACTGACTGGCATGGCCGACCACAACATCCACTACTATGAGAAGGTAAGAGGGGAGACTTCAGACAGCTACTGACTGGCATGGCCGACCACAACATCCACTACTATGAGAAGGTAATACAGCTACTGACTGGCATGGCCGACCACAACATCCACTACTATGAGAAGGTAAGAGGGGAGACTTCAGACAGCTACTGACTGGCATGGCCGACCACAACATCCACTACTATGAGAAGGTAAGAGGGGAGACTTCAGACAGCTACTGACTGGCATGGCCGACCACAACATCCACTACTATGAGAATGTAAGAGGGGAGACTTCAGACAGCTACTCACTGGCATGGCCGACCACAACATCCACTACTATGAGAAGGTAAGAGGGGAGACTTCAGACAGCTACTGACTGGCATGGCCGACCACAACATCCACTACTATGAGAAGGTAAGAGGGGAGACTTCAGACAGCTACTGACTGGCATGGCCGACCACAACATCCACTACTATGAGAAGGTAATACAGCTACTGACTGGCATGGCCGACCACAACATCCACTACTATGAGAAGGTAAGAGGGGAGACTTCAGACAGCTACTGACTGGCATGGCCGACCACAACATCCACTACTATGAGGAGGTAAGAGGGGAGACTTCAGACAGCTACTGACTGGCATGGCCGACCACAACATCCACTACTATGAGAAGGTAAGAGGGGAGACTTCAGACAGCTACTGACTGGCATGGCCGACCACAACATCCATTACTATGAGAAGGTAAGAGGGGAGACTCCAGACAGCTACTGACTGGCATGGCCGACCACAACATCCACTACTATGAGAAGGTAAGAGGGGAGACTTCAGAAAGCTACTGACTGGCATGGCCGACCACAACATCCAGTACTATGAGAAGGTAAGAGGGGAGACTTCAGACAGCTACTCACTGGCATGGCCGACCACAACATCCATTACTATGAGAAGGTAAGAGGGGAGACTTCAGACAGCTACTGACTGGCATGGCCGACCACAACATCCAGTACAATGAGAAGGTAAGAGGGGAGACTACCCACTGACTTTTGTTATAATATGTCTAATTGGCCCTTACCAAAATCTTAATCCAAACCCAGCCCTTATCTTGACCCTTACATAAATGGTTTGTAGTGGTTTTCTTAGTGTAACCCAGGTGATGATGGTTCAACTAGAAGAAAATGGTCTCAGCTCGGCTTTCCCCTCTGGTCCCTCTAGTACCTCTAGTCCCTCTACCGCCTCTTCCCTCTTGGTCCAGACCTCTAGTCCCTCTACCGCCTCTTCCCTCTTGGTCCAGACCTCTAGTCCCTCTACCGCCCCTCTTCCCTCTTGGTCCAGACCTCTAGTCCCTCTACCGCCTCTTCCCTCTTGGTCCAGGACCTCTAGTCCACTCTACAGCCTCTCCCTCTTGGTCCAGACCTCTAGTCCCTCTACCGCCTCTTCCCTCTTGGTCCAGACCTCTAGTCCCTCTACCGCCTCTTCCCTCTTGGTCCAGACCTCTAGTCCCTCTACCGCCTCTTCCCTCTTGGTCCAGACCTCTAGTCCCTCTACCGCCTCTTCCCTCTTGGTCTCAGACCTCTAGTCCCTCTACCGCCTCTTCCACTAGTGGCTCAGACCTCTAGTCCCTCTACCGCCATCTTCCCTCTTGGTCCAGCCTCTAGTCCCTCTACCGCTCTCCATATTGGTCCAGACCTCTAGTCCCTCTACCGCCTTTCCTTTGGTCCAGACCTCTAGTCCCTCCTACCCGCCCTCTTCCACTCTTGGTCCAAGACCCTCTAGTCCCTCTACCGCCTCTTCCCTCTTGGTCCAGACCTCTAGTCCCTCTAGTCAAATCAAATGGATTTATTAAGCCCTTTTCACATCAGCAGATGTCACAAAGTGCTTATACAGAAACCCAGCCTAAAACCCCAAACAGCAGCAATGCAGATGTAGAAGCACGGTGGCTAGGAAAAACTCCCTAGAAAGGCAGGAACCTAGGAACTAACCTAGAGAGGAACCAGGCTCTGAGGGGTGGCCAGTCCTCTTCTGACTGTGCTGGGGGGAGATTATAAGAGTTCATGGCCATTAAGGCCAGATTGTTCTTCAAGATGTTCAAACGTTCATAGATGACCAGCAGGGTCAAATAATAATCCCAGTGGTTGTAGAGGGTGCAACAGGTCAGCACCTCAGGAGTAAATGTCCTTTGGCTTTTCATAGCCGAGCATTCAGAGGTCGAGACAGCAGTGTTGTGTTCGAGATCACCTAAAGCGAGACTGATTGAAGACCAAGACCGGAGCAAAACAAGTCAGAGTCAAGACTAATACCGGATGGGGGGGTGAGACCAAGTCAAGACCGAGACCAGGAGGGGGACAAGGGGTCCGAGACGGAGTCAAGACCGAGACCAGAAAAATGCGAGTCCAATTCAAGACCATGATTGTAATTTTGTCAATTCACCACCTTAATAAGAGTTCAAAATGTCCAGTATTTCTGTGTTCATATTTCAGAGCAACATATGGGTTCTTTAGACATTCAGAAATAGTGAAAAAAAATACATTCTGAGGGAAAATAGAGCCACTCTAAAAAGTATTACTAACCCAAACACAGTGGAGAACAATGGGCCTTCTGCACCTTCCGAGAAGGGCAAAATATTTATAAAATAATTATTATTATAATATAATAATAGTTCTGATTTATTCTCTTCAGTTTTTGTTGGAAAGGATAGGGTTAAAAAAAGATCCAATCAGGATTATTATTTGCTGGTCTCTGGAGAGATAAATCTAGCTAGCTAAGTCAGCCATTGGCTAGGCCATCAGAAGCTAGATAGAAGGCATCTGCCATTCAACTGTATTAGGGCAACATTTTTGGAGTGACAGTGGAATCAACCAATCACATTTTGACTTAATGGTTGGGACTGGTTTTACAAAAAACTTGGAAACTTCTGCCTTCTTGAAGGCCAACAGGTCACTGCGCAATAGCGAGCAGTAGTTTTCCCACGGTCTAGCTAGCTTTTGTTGTCGGCTAGTTTGCAGTGGCTGCTGCAGGTGTTATCAAAAGGATGTTGTTGCTGATTTGTTAGCTTAGTGAAACATTGTTGTATTTAAAGTGGAACTTGACTGCATTTTGGCAACATTAAATCTTATTAAAATCTGTTCATATACACCCCTAGGAAGAATATGACAACATTTTAAACATTTTCTGACAAGCGACCACTTAGATATGGTCATTTTCACATATTCATAAATTCTTAGGATGTTTGGGAATTATGTATTCTAACACATTTGTGAAAATTCTATAGCAATATAGAGTGGGAAAGCGGCCGTGCTTTTGGACAATAAATAGATGCAGTAAATAAAACCGAATAAAAACATCTGTCTTGTCCAGGACCGCTATAGCCAAGCAGAGCTACAGTAGGCCTTTATACAAACAAGCCATTTGCCCCACGGGCCTGCCGTCATTCACTTTGAACTGGACTGTGTGTTTACAGGCTGTAGCAATAGCGCATCTTTAGATCATTAGAACACATTCGCCAAAAGCCACGAAATACACCTGAATGGATTTCTGCAAATATGTACAGTGAGGAAAAAAAGTATTTAGTCAGCCACCAATTGTGCAAGTTCTCCCACTTAAAAAGATGAGAGGCCTGTAATTTTCATCATAGGTACACGTCAACTATGACAGACAAAATGAGAAAAAAATATCCAGAAAATCACATTGTAGGATTTTTTATGAATTTATTTGCAAATTATGGTGGAAAATAAGTATTTGGTCAATAACAAAAGTTTCTCAATACTTTGTTATATACCCTTTGTTGGCAATGACACAGGTCAAACGTTTTCTGTAAGTCTTCACAAGGTTTTCACACACTGTTGCTGGTATTTTGGCCCATTCCTCCATGCAGATCTCCTCTAGAGCAGTGATGTTTTGGGGCTGTCGCTGGGCAACACAGACTTTCAACTCCCTCCAAAGATTTTCTATGGGGTTGAGATCTGGAGACTGGCTAGGCCACTCCAGGACCTTGAAATGCTTCTTATGAAGCCACTCCTTCATTGCCCGGGCGGTGTGTTTGGGATCATTGTCATGCTGAAAGACCCAGCCACGTTTCATCTTCAATGCCCTTGCTGATGAAAGGAGGTTTTCACTCAAAATCTCACGATACATGGCCCCATTCATTCTTTCCTTTACACGGATCAGTCGTCCTGGTCCCTTTGCAGAAAAACAGCCCCAAAGCATGATGTTTCCACCCCCATGCTTCACAGTAGGTATGGTGTTCTTTGGATGCAACTCAGCATTCTTTGTCCTCCAAACACGACGAGTTGAGTTTTTACCAAAAAGTTCTATTTTGGTTTCATCTGATCATATTACATTCTCCCAATCCTCTTCTGGATCATCCAAATGCACTCTAGCAAACTTCAGACGGGCCTGGACATGTACTTGCTTAAGCAGGGGGACACGTCTGGCACTGCAGGATTTGAGTCCCTGGCGGCGTAGTGTGTTACTGATGGTAGGCTTTGTTACTTTGGTCCCAGCTCTCTGCAGGTCATTCACTAGGTCCCCCCGTGTGGTTCTGGGATTTTTGCTCACCGTTCTTGTGATCATTTTGACCCCACGGGGTGAGATCTTGCGTGGAGCCCCAGATTGAGGGAGATTATCAGTGGTCTTGTATGTCTTCCATTTCCTAATAATTGCTCCCACAGTTGATTTCTTCAAACCAAGCTACTTACCTATTGCAGATTCAGTCTTCCCAGCCTGGTGCAGGTCTACAATTTTGTTTCTGGTGTCCTTTGACAGCTCTTTGGTCTTGGCCATAGTGGAGTTTGGAGTGTGACTGTTTGAGGTTGTGGACAGGTGTCTTTTATACTGATAACAAGTTCAAACAGGTGCCATTAATACAGGTAACGAGTGGAGGACAGAGGAGCCTCTTAAAGAAGAAGTTACAGGTCTGTGAGAGCCAGAAATCTAGCTTGTTTGTAGGTGACCAAATACTTATTTTCCACCATAATTTGCAAATAAATTCATAAAAAATCCTAAAATGTGATTTTCTGGATTTTTTTCCCTCAATTTGTCTGTCATAGTTGACGTGTACCTATGATGAAAATTACAGGCCTCTCTCATCTTTTTAAGTGGGAGAACTTGCACAATTGGTGGCTGACTAAATACTTTTTTCCCCCACTGTAAATACCACGGGAGTCCTCTTACATTTGGGAACTTTACAGTCCTATTGATCAAACAACCATGAAAAGGTAGGCTCTCTCTCCCTCAGTTATGCACATCAACAACAACAAGATCAACAACTAATGCTATCCAGAGCAAGAAGAGCTCAAATCTAAAGAAGGAACATTTGACAAACCCTCTCAAACTTTTTCAGTTGACCTTCAAAATTGCACTGATAAACGATGGGGAATTGTAGCCTGCTCGTCCTTCTGCAGCTTGCCTGCCAATGCATGCTTGCCCCAACCAAGCACCCAAAGCTAACTGGCTAGAGTTGGCTAGCTTGCTAGCTAGCTACTTCTAGGCACAAATGAGAGAACAACTCACTGACCATTTTACTCGCCGTAGCAGAGCTGGTT